ATATTTCAGTTATACCACATATGTCTGATATATCACATATATCACTTATGTTAAATCAGTTAATCTTTTGCGCCACATAAGCTGCATCACATTTACCTGTTCATAATAAGAAAAAATTTTTACATTACGTCTCACAATTATCATAAAGTTAACTTAAATGATATGATATCAATATTGAACACCTCTAAAAAAAATTTAATAAAATATTAAATCATCAATATAGAATATATCACATAATTAAAATTTATTAGACTTTATATAATGTATATTACAAATAATAAAATTGCTTATAGCTGCATATTAACATTATGTTCTTTAAGTATATTATCCTTTTCTTTTTATAATATGCAACATTGTAGCCAGGTTGATCACATATACAGTATTTATAAGTATTGCAGTTTGAAGAACTTTTTGTATTACTACTATTTCCTTGTTCAATTTTCACATTACTTTTATACCTTATTATTAGAGAACGTTCTTTGGTCTTTGTTTTAAATAGATTTTGAATGTTCTTAAGTTTTTAAAGTTCAAGTTTTTCAATATTATCATTAAGATTTATTTGTTATGTTTCATTAATAAAAGTATTGATTCTTCATGCTCTTCAATAGATAGCAATGTAGGTATTTCTATTTGAGTATTTGTCATAATTTATTCACTATTTTCTTTTTTTCAGTTAATATAATCTTGTAATAAATGTTCCATCTCATGATTGTCAAAATCTAATACAAGTAATGTAGCTTCATGTGTTATTCCCAATAATTTTTCATATCTTGTTCTTTTTTTCAATAGATTTCTTTATAATTAATATAGTTTTTGGAATAGTAATATCTTTATGTGCTGGTAAAATTATTGCCAAATTATTATTATTTTTAATATTATCTTTTTTATGAACAAATATTATATTTTCTTCATACATCAATTTTAGTCTTTGATAAGCATCATGATACTATCTTTCTGAAATCATAGAAATATGAAAACTTGCAATTTTAGATGATATCATTATACAAAAATAATGATGGCAAATAATTCCTCTTAATATTGAAGTTAAATATGAATATAAAAAAGAAATTTCATTAGAAATTTCAATATAGTGAATAAGTGCCTTTTTTTGATCAAATATCATAAATTTTCTATATTTCTTTAATTTCTTCTTTTTCAATTTCATCAATAATTAATTGTAAAATAATTTGTTAAGCTTTATAATTATCTTCAATAAAACTATTATTATGTTATTCTTCTAGTTCCTAATAATTAAAATATTAATAATGTTACTAATTCTAATTCTAATTTTAACCCTAATTTCTAATCCTAACTCTAACTAACTCTAATTCTAACTAATTTTAACTCTAATTTTAATACCTTTCGCTTAACTTTCAGTTTATAAACAAGCTGATGGTGATTTTTGTAGTATGTTTTAGAAATATTAAATTAATATGTCAGGAACATAAACATTTTTTTGTTTCAGTATTATTTTATTTTTCTTATATTAATAATTTCTTATTTTTAGACTTAAACTTACCACTAAATTTATAGGTAAAGATCCTTTTAATAATAATATTTGAAGATTTGTCTCTTTCTATTCAATATTTATTAATTATAAATTATTTCAATATCTATAATCTTTAAAGAAGTTTTCAACTTCATCCTAAGAAAGAAAAGTTGTATCTAGACTGATATTTTCAGAAGCGATTTTTATACAAATATTATTAGTATTTATAGTTTTATCATTTAAAATTTCTTAATAAGAATTAATAAAATCATTAGAAGCATCTTCACTATAATATGCATTTCTTTCATTAGTAATAAAATCAGATAGAGGTATAGAAGATTCATATTCTTGAAAAAAAACTTTGTATAGTTCTAAAGATTTATCATAATTTTTAGTACATAAACAAAAAAATAGGCGATTAATTAAAGTTGTAAATTTTAATAATAATATTAACCTGATAGTTTTCAAAATTATATATATTCATAGCAAAAAAAGAAGAAAATTATTATGATAAATGAAACATAGAAGAAATAAAACACTTGAAGAAGAATATGAAAAGGAAGATATGAGAAAAATATATTAAAAGAAAAGAGTAAACGATAACAATCAGTATATAATTTTATCAGTAGCTTAGTTAGAGGGTAAATTTATTGATCATCACTTGGTGATTTATTGATTAAAAGTAAAATTAAATTACATCACGGCATTTATTATATAGTTTATAAAATTTTACAATATAAAAAACAATTACGTTATAATTTATAGGGAAGCAATATTGAATTAATACCATTTTTACAATTTTATATAATTTATTTATAGAGTGATAATTTTAAGAATCGCAACTCACAATATAAATATTTATTCTTAATATAATAGTCAAAGTTATAGCTTTTCATTCAGAATTTATTCTTTTTTAAATATATATTTAATATAATAATTAAAGAAAAATTAAAAACTTTTATTAAAAGTAAGTTTACTTTATATTTTATAATAAATGTGCAAAAAATCTTTATTATCTCTCTTTTTACTTATCTATCACAATTTTTATTTTATGCTTTTTAACTTATTACATGTTTTTTTTTTATATTATTAATTATATATATTTCTTTTTTTTATATTTTATTTCTAATTTTACTAATTTTATTTTTATATTTTTTAAATATTATTATTGTTATTTTTAAATATATTAATATTAAAATACACATTTAGAATATCTTAAATATAAAAATTATTTAAAATATTCATTTATTTCAAATGTATATTTATTCTAAATAATTATTTCAAATATTTTAAATATGCATTTCAAATAATGTTCTAAATATAAATTTCAAATAATATTCTAAATATATACTTAAAATATCCTAAATATGTATTTTAGATTTTTTAAATAAATATTTAAAATGATTACTAATTATTTTCAAATAAATTAATAGCAAATTAAATTATTTATATTTGATATTTTTATTTATAAACTCTATTTTTTATTTAACTTGTAAATAAAAATATAAATAAACTTACATTAGTAGATTATTATAATTTTTCCTAAATGACAATTTATATTATAATAATTTTCTTTTTTTTGTAAATGTAATGAAATGTAATGCAGAAAATCTTTTTGCATTTATATTTTATATCAAGAATTTCAACTTCTGATATGCTTTATAATTTTGAAACTTTTTAATATTAATAATATTATTAGGAATATTTTAAAGTTTAGATAAATTATTTAATGATACTAGTTTTAAATTACTTTCATTATAACTAATATTCAAAATTCCAGATTTGCAACTAATTTATAATAATTTTTATATAACTAATTAATAAATTTACAAGGTATATTAGGTTTATTAGTTTAGAATAATTTTTTATTAAAATTTTTAAATTTACTATATCTATAATTATAAATTTTAAAGAATTTTATTATTTGATTTAATATATTTTTTCATATTATTTCTATAAGTATTTAATTTTTCTGGCTTTATTTCTATATATCTTTATCAAATTAATTACTTAAATCAGTTTTAATTATATAATAAATTTATAGATAGAATTTAAAATATGATATATATTAAAATTAATAAATAATTATCTTTTATTCATTATTAGATTCATCATTAGAATCAATTTCAATTAAATTAAATCAGATTTAACATTAATTTAAAGAATTTTTTATGTAGTAGTTTTCTTCTTTTCTATTGCAAAGCATCCAATATTTTAAAAAATTTTGCTATTATAAATACATAAAATTTATTAAAATTATATTACAAGACATTGTCATATTAATTTTGTAATACTTTAAAATTTTGCTATTAAATCATCTTATAAGATGATGTTGTTATGCTAACTGAAATTTTGCTAATAAAAATATTATTACATTAATTTATTAAAGAAAGTTGGAATTTAATTATTATTAATTACATTCATATAGTATAATTAGATTTTTTAATTTTTATTAATGATTATCATTTTCTTCAACTATAAAAATTCCTCATCTCCGTAGCAAATTTTATTTCTAAAAAAAACTCGTCACTCTATTGCAAAATAAATTTTAATAAATAAAAAAAAAAAATCGTCGCCTCTAGTAAATAATTTAAAAAAACTTAAAAAAACAAATTTTTTAAAAAATCGTCGCCTTCATAATATAAATTTTAAAAATAAAATTTTTATTTTAAAAAAAAATTCCGACGACTTTATAAATTTACTATTTCTTTTTTCTTAAGTAAAAACACTTAGCCGCCGCAGCATTTGATTGACGTTCTCATCATGGTCAGTATTTTGATTTGCAAATTCAACCCTGTTCCTACGCTTACGATTCGAACAATAATGTAAAAAAAATCAGGATTGACAATCACAATTTATTAAAAACTGTGTTCCGAAAGCAAATTACGAGTTACAGAAAAATTTAATTAATAATTATTAAATCTACTATAAAAAATTTCGAAATTCGTGGCGACTTTTTACTAAAATTTGTAACACCACGAAACGTCACAATATGAAACAACTTTTTCAGATCTGCAAGATGAATTCCCTCAACCTATATGATGATGTTCGCATAAATTTTTTTTTATTATTTCGCCTTATCGTTAGTTGCATTTGCAACACATTTTTTATTTTTGGGAATAAAAAAATGACTTGTAAGATATTGCGTTAATTCTTATTGCTTCGGCAGTAGGTGGATTTAAATTTTTGGGCTTTTTTGGTGAAATCATTTTTTATAATATTAAAGGCCTGTACTTTTCGTATTTGTATTTGTATTTAGTATTAAACTTTATATATATTCCTGTTGTATTTTTACTTGTCCTATCTGTCTTTTTGTTTGATATCTGTATTATTATCCTTTTTTTTTTTTTATTATTTTCAATATTTATATTTTACTTAGTTTTGTATCATACCTTATTCATCTTTGCATTTTAATATATTTTTCACCTCTCCTCTTAATTGTTTATATTGTAAGGATTTGATGAGGCGGAACTTTTTGGTCCGACTCGCAAGTCTTTGCGCGTGCAAGAAAATGGAGAAGAAACCAACCTTCGAAAGGGAGGGTTCGCGCCGTAATATAGCCGTAGTAGTCGCACTTCGGGAAGATGGGGTTTTCATTCCTATGAATTTAGGTTATGTTAGAAAAGTCACCCAGGGTTGCATAGGGAGGCATGAGTACCGGGTGGTAAGATTTCTGAGAAATTGGGAAATTACAGATGAACGGTTATGGCTGTGAACTTCGTCATTTCCTGTACATTGTTATATATTCCTATTGTTTCTTGACTTTTCGATGTCGTCGTTTGATTTCTTAAAAATCACATTATTTGCTAATTAGAAATTTAATTATTCTTTAATTAAATAAAAAAGAAAAAAAAATTTTTTTCCTTTGGAATTTTTGTCTCGTAAATATGTGACATATACTGTATATTTTTATGGTTTTCTTATACCTGAAAATTTAAATAAACAGAACCAATCATAATCAACTTTCTCAATTCGTATTGAAGACAGCAACCTGTTGATGTAGATAAGACGCTTCCATTATTATGTTAATTATAAAATTACTAAAAATGATTGAGGCACCGTGAGCAAAATTTTTGAGTCGAGCATTTTTATAAGTTGCCAGATTTATTAATCCCTTGTACTTTTATTTAAGGTTAATTCCACCCATCATCTGAGATCTTGTCACATCCCATATCAGTTGATGCATAAACTTTTCCGTTACAGATGTCTTCTGATGCTAATGGCAAGTTTGATAATCATACATGATGAACATGATGAAGCACAATACCCATTACCCATACAACGCGAAAAAAATAATTGTTCGGGTAAATTCGTCCCTTTTCAGGTTTTTTTGGTTATGCGGCATTGATTTTATTTTTGCAAACTATTAATCCCCTGTGAATATTGAAATAAATTAATGTAACATATAGAGGTTACGGATAAAACCCTAATCCATTTTCGGCAAAAGTCAAAACCTTTCGGAAATCGACGGTTTTGATTTCGATGCCTGTCGAAACCTCCGGGTTTTGTCTGATAACATACAATGGAATGGAATAACTTTCATTAAAAATAAAATGCATTATGTATTATGTTAAGCATTATGATCGACGAATTAAGATTAATACGTTTCTCATTTTCGATGCCAAAACTGAATTTCACAAGGATGTTAAATATATCCAAAAGTACTTGTCAGGATATTTATAAAAATTCTGTAAAAAAATGTCCTATAGATAGATACTTTCACAACCATGTTTCTTAATAAAGCTTGATTTTTACCCAAATTAATACTAGTACTGTTAAATCTCTTTTTTAACTTTAAATAAAATTATTAAAATTCAAATTATACTTAAGAGATTTTAATTTAATTAATATGACAGAACAATACATTATTACTCAATAATTTTATAACAATTAAAATAGGTTAATTGCAAAAAGTTAGTTTTATTTAGTTAGTTATATTATACTATTTTATTTATATGTTAAATACTGTATGTTTTACTTTGAAAGCTATTATTAATATTTTATATATTTTTAAATATTATTAAAAACTATATAATAAAATTACATTCACAAATTAAGAAACAAAATTGATCTATAAAGATTATGATAACTAAATATAAATAAAAAGTAAAAAGTAATTACTTAAAAATAATTTTTTGATTCTTTGAATAAGATTATTTAAAGACATTTAATAAATAAAATGATTTACAATATAAACTTTAAAATAAAGTTATGTATTACATAATTATAATCATTTTGAGTAAACCTTTTTTATTAAAATTTTACTAAATATGACTAATATAAATTTATATGATAGCTAAATATTATATAATTATATATATAAATTTAAATATGTTTAAATTATATAAATTTAATTATGCAAATAGGTATAAATAAAGAAAATCATATAATACTATTAATATTAAAAAATATTATAATCAAAGTTATTATAAAGTTTTTATTATTAAAGCTTTAATAAAAAATTCTCATAGATTACAAAGATAATATTTATTAAAAAATGTTTTAAAATTTTAAAAATATATTAATAAAACTATTTTAAGTTTTAAAAATACATTTATTAATTTATTTTAATTAAATTGCAGAATTATATTCAAATCTAATACTGATAATAAAATATTATAAAGTATTAATTAAATAAAAGTTTAAAATGCTTAAATATATACTTTTTATAATATTTATATTTTAAATTTTATTAAGTTTATAAATATTAAATATTTCAACAATTATTTCATCAAAAAATATATTATATTAATATTATAATATAATATACAATTAATTTATATTTATAATTAAAAGGAATATAACTATTTAATTTATATAAAAATAAAATCAGAAATAATATAATACAAAATGATATTTTATCATTCTAAATTTGTTAATTTATATATATATATTTTTTTATAATTTTTTCTAAATAAATAATTATACATATTTTTTTTTTTGCAATAAAAATAAAATTAATATATAATTATCTTATGGGTTAAACATAAAATTTATATTATTAGTATGCAAAAATGTAATATATTAATATATCATAAAATAATAAGTTACTATTACCCATAATTTTTCATTTTTTAATAGCTATCAGCAAAACATTTATTATTAAGATTATTAGTAAATATTGTCAGTATATTACCCGCTAACTAATTGTTGTTTAATATTGATATTTTACCGGATTCACTATCGGAGTTGAATTTTCCGTGAAAATATCAACATGATGCAATTACCGTGATATATCAAACGAAAATCGTACCGCAAAATATTTAATATATTTTATTTAATAAGCTTGATATAGA